TTGATACACTTCAACATCACCTTGGACCAACTCCACCCAAACTCCATACGGAATGTGGTGGGGTCCATCTCTCTTTGCTTCGATCGCTCCCTCTCTATAGATTTAGATATTCTTAGCACAATTTTGGCTATAAAGAAGAGCGCTTCGGACGCTCTCCCCGGGCATAGGCGGTCCTATTACCTGTCCCCCCACCCGGGTTTCAAACTCATGCACAAGCTCCCGAGCAAAGCCCCAGCTTGGAAGCGGGACTACTTCATAGTCTAGAGCAGTACGAGGTGGCCCTTCCCCACCGATTGGAGGATAGTCGTTCAAGACTCTAGCGTCATCCTTGACGGGAAGACCAAGAAGGCGCTCCAGTCATTGGCTTAGCTCGGATTGAATTATAAAGACTTCACTTCTGAGGAGAAGCTCGTCCAGGCGAGCTTGAGCCCAGGTAGGTTTTCCTTCACTTCGGTTTTCTGTTCATATGTTTACTTCGGGTTGCTAATGTCGTGTTTTGCTGCAGGTCCCATGGAGGCGGAGAAAATAGACAACCAGAAGCTTTTCGCCAAATGAAGAGGAAGAAATGCGTAGCCAAGAAGGGGCGCGTTGAGTCCCCGCGAGCTTCAGTTGAGCCCCAACCTCCACAGACTTCAGCCTCGGGGCCTGAGGTGGTAGTCGCGCCTGTTGTTGATTTGGAAGAAGGGGCCATGCCTAAGGGGCCCGAGGTGTCAACGGGACCTGTCGTTAGGCCTGCCGAGCCTGCTGTCAAGCCCACCGGACTTACCGGTGAAAGCGTTGCTAAGGCCAACGTTGCTGCTGTCGGGGCTCATCCTGCCGAGGCTGTCGCCGAGACCTTTGTGAGTTCCACTCGTGATGTGGAGATGACGGCTTCCAGCTCGGAGGGTCAAGGGAGCCAAACCGTCCTGAACCCCAAGTGCAGCCTGAAGAATACGCTGGCTGCATACCCGGGGTAGGTTAGCGAGTGGGCCAAACTCACTCCTGGTCAGCTCGGCGCCCGAGCTGCCACTCATACTATGGTGGTGAGTCTCTCATCTTCTTCTCTTTTTCTTTTCTTTTTCTTTTCTTTCTTTTTTTTTGACTGGTTTCCCTTTTGCAGGTGAACACTGCCATTCGCGCCTTGACCCTCCAATCAGATCGGCACCTGAGGCGGGCTCTGGAGGCTGAGAAATCGTCTTGCGCAGCCCATACTTAGTTGAGGGCAGCTCGTTGTCAGGTTCACCGCCTGGAGAATGATGCCTCAGCTCAAAAGAGCTTCATCGAGGTGTTAATGGCAGAGAAGGGGGAGCTGGCCCGAGACAAAGACAAGTTGAGGGCCGAGGTGAATGGCCTTAAGGTCGGTCAGGAGGCCTTAGGGCTCGAGGTGAGCAGCCTCAAGGTTGAGTGGGATGCCTTGAATCTCGAGGTGCAAGGCCTCAAGGAGGCAAAGGGGAAGCTGGAGCATGAAGTGGGGTACCTCCAGGACGAAATAAGGGAGAAGACTGCGATCTTCGAGGGCGCTCTTGAGGAGGCCAAGACTCAGGCCATCATTGACTACGTCAACTCTTCCTAATTCGACAACATGATGACGGAGGCCTACCGTAAGGGTTTCAAGCTCAGTCGATGGCTGATCAAGCACCTCTACCCTGAGCTGGACACGAGCACCATCACTACTTCGCGGATTACTAACGACATCGTGCGTCAGTCAAAAGATGATCCCTATTCTGAAGATGAGGGCGCCGAAAATGAAGCAGAGGATGTTGGTCCAGATATTGTCCCCGAGGGGGTCCCTTATAGAGGCGACGAGCTCCCGAAGTAGTTTGCTCTTTATACTTGTAACTTAATCTTTTCCCTTTTTCTTTCTTGTAATCAAGGCGTCCTTAATGAAATTTATGTAACAAATTTTCTGGAATGAAGAAATTTCTTCCTTTTGTCAAAAGTTTGCGCAATTCATTTATGTCGAAACGGTTATCTCACCCCAAGTTGTCAACCTGTCGAGTT